GAAGCATTTTCGATGGGCACCCTAACGTATATACTATATAGACTTTTTTCTGTTCGCCCATCCATCAACAGCAGACACTCAAAATTCAAGTAGTAACTAACGTGGTTTAAATTTAAAACTAATTCAATGAATGAATTAAATAGAATTATAATCTGATGCTCTTTGGAATCTACCTTATGGGCAGTAGCGCCGGCGCCGCCGAATATTTTTGAAGTTGACCACGGCGCCGCCGCAAAGCCTGTCGGCGTAAACCTCTAGTTCACACAAGCTCTTGGCTCAATCCTTACCCATTCGTCTTGAAATATTCTAGCCAAAAATACGATTGCTCTATAAAAAAGAGAACCATTTTGAAATATGAGTTTTTTACTCTATAGAAAACTCATTTATGCAACCACGTTTGCATTTTGTTGATATGCGGTTTTGTACTTTAAACAACGATATGGTTTTTAACATGGGTTCTTCATAAAAGAAGTAAGTCAGAAGGACCGTAGGACGCAGTCTTTCGATTACATCAAATTTGAGATTTTTGTATAGATTAGACATACATATATTCGCAAACAAATCTCCAAATGGATGTGTTTAAGAAAAGCTTCTGTGTTTTGGTTTTTAGCATCAAATTAACTTTCTGCTTATGTAAAAAAAATTTCTTCGGTTAATGCTAGTCTATCGAGGCAAAAAGGTATGATTAGGTTAGGAGGTCGTATATGGATATGGTTAGATTTTCCCAATTAGAGTGACCTTTGTGAATTTGGTTCCTATAAAAAGAGAAATGAAAGACCTCTCAATGCTGCCAATGTCAAAAAGGATCTCCTTTCCATTATTTTTGGCAAACCGGTGAAAAAGCGTGATGTTTGGCGAATGAATCTATTCGCCTATATGCCTGAGAAACGACATTTGTTTATTTCTTAGAGCATCGGTGCAACAGCACAGAGTCTATTTAGTTCCATATGAAGATGGACAATATGACCTTGAAAGCTCAAAATCATCTCGACAACTCTGGTTTTCGGTGTTATTTTAGTTGCATTCAATATTTTAAACAGATTAACAATTCAAAAAAGGCAATCTCATATCCAAATTGGTAACTGTAGACCCTGCATAAAACTCATCAATGTTGCGTGAGCACAAATTTTCAAGATCCTCAGTGAGAGTCCCTCACACACTATTAGTTATTTTTCAATCTTCACTTCGTGGTATTATTATTGGAAATCTGCAGGTTCGTGGTTTCAATTCAATTTTTCTTTTTTAATTATTACACACTTTACGTCCTAGTTTATATTTTCAAAATACACTTTTTGAAGAATTTTTCAAAATTTATTTTGCAACTTTTCAACATTTCCAATTTCACTATTAACCATCAGTAACTTAAAACATTCCATCAGCACTCTTACCCATGCTGTCTGCGCGAGTTTCTGGCGTCGAATGATAGTCGGTGCGCGCCTGCTTTACGTTTTTATTTGCATTTCGTCGCTTGAACGTCACAAGTTATAATGGCGCGCATGTTGGCGGTAGTAACTTCTGCCGCTTCCCATTTGATTCTCACCCGCGCACGCAAAGTGACAAAAACAACACAGTGCACAGCCAAGCGCTTTACGGCCGGGGCCAGCTATCGTTACGCAGTGCGATGCGTTGCGTGCCTCAACATTTCCTACTAACTTATGTATATGTACTCATGCATAAATATGTAAGTATAAACATTTCTGCAAAAGAATAAAATAACTTCCATCTGCGCCACGCTTTGTCACCATTTCACAGCAGCGCCTACCTCACCATTAGCCATCAGCTTCATATTTGTTTGCTTTTCTTAAGCACAACCAGTGCGCGAGATGGTTTCTTTCCGATGGTGAACAGGTACTCGTATTTAGAGAGCACTTCAGTAAGATCGTTTTTTTTTTGTTTTGTTTTTTTTTTGTTTCGCTTACTGAGCTGCCTTGTTTATCTTATCGCGTGCGTACAAATTTCATCGCCTTATTTTGCTTGCTACTTCTTAAGCTACTTTCTTCGTCTTTTGTTATTCAAAAAATCTAGAATTACAATATGGAACTCATTGAGTTCACAGCTTGAAGCGCATGAGTGCGAGCCAGCCTCCTGTGGGTGCGGCAAACGTTGCTTCAGTTAGTTAACTCTGCCGGTCAAACTTTCATCTCTCTTCGCTTCCCCCTTTCCGCACTAAAGACAAGTATTGGAGTGATTTGTGTTGTTTACATTAAAAATAGCGGTTTTACGCTGCAACGGACATGAGAATCGGGTTCTTTGTAGAACAATAAATAAGCTTAAGACTTAATAACAAGCCGAGATTGCATTACGCTGCAAGGGTCGTAAAAATGGCCAAATGAATAACTTCGGAGTGAATGGCACTTTACTCTGGAAATGCTGGACTAACAGTTCATTGCTCTTAATGAGTTGGTGGACAGGTGCTTCATCTTACGCTCTTGTGCAGATTTACTATGTAAGATTTTGGTTATCGTGAAAGTTCATATTTATGGACATTTTTTAGCGGTTAAGCGGTGGGCCTTAAAAATCATTACAACCATTTGTATGTTGAGTAAATCATGTCTCATATGTATATGTGTATGTATATTTAAGTATGTATGTATAAAATGCCGCACTTACAATTAGATAACAATTACAATATCGATAACGATAACATATCGATAGCGTTAACGACAACTATAGATAACGCAAAAATAACTGTAACCATACCCCTGACAACATCGATAGCTGTAGCAGTACTTTCAGCAAATAAAAAAATTTTATAATCATATTCTAACAACCGATTCTACGAAAGCAATTTAAGTGAAAATTGCTAGCGAAACCGGCTGTAAATATTCTAAAAAATTATTAATAACGAATTATTCTACTCTATTTGAATGCAAAGTTTGTATTGTCGCAGGAGAATTCTGCTTCATCTCATCACTCAAATTTTAAATTAACAAATGTTGTTGTTTATTTTTATGTTTTTTTTTTGCAAATATTGCAGATAAAAATTCCAAAACTTGTTTCTGATAACAAATTTCTGTTTGAGTATTAAACTTTTTATCAAGTTATTCGCACTCAAATGGAACATAATAATCAAATTTAGATATTACTTTCCTCTTACAATTTTAAAATACATACATACATACATACATACATATACACACGTTAGTACTATAGTACTTGTGTAGATGATACAAACCAGGTTTGATACAGGCTACTGCAATGAATTCTTTGTCAATCAACAATACAAGGTTAGTAAACAAAGAGCTTCATTAACAAAAAAATACGTGGTAATTTATTAAAAAAAGGGTTTGACAAACATTTTTCCACTTACAAATTTATAATAAAGAATGGTATCGAGCTATTGGCAATTTTTATGATTAATTTGTATGGAAAAACTGGCTGATATCCACGACTCAAAAAGCCGATAGATAACAAACATTTTAACTGCTGAAAGCTTAATAGATTGGCGCTACGAGCTTCTTCTCCGTTTGGTGGCGGGTGCCTTGATGTTGTCACACAAAGGGAAGGGACCAACAATTATAAGCCGACCCGAACGGTGATTAGAGGTTTATGAGAACTTTCAAAGCAGAAATGCACTAGGAGTTTTCCCATTGCCTGACGAGGAGCAACCGCAATTAGAAAAATTATTTCTTGATTTTTTATTGTTTGATGTTGGGCGGAGACTGGGCTCAAACCCAGGTCCTGCGGAATGCTAGCGCGCGCTGCTAATCACTTACACCACAACGGCCGCCAAGGTTTGAACTAACTCGAACTATAAATATGGATTTTCTGGAAACCTCGACGTTAAATACAGATCGTATGAATATCTTAACTCTTGGCGCCACCTAACGGATTCAGTTTTCGTAAGAGTATATCCAGTCGTACCCCCAGTATAAGTTTCTAGTTTCATTAAAATCGCATCTAAATAAATCCGGTTTTTCGGAAAATACCGACCCATGCGCCAGCTAGCCGGTTTAAACATAGTCTATGTCCGTGCCATGGGCCTAAGCATTTCAGTCATTTGTTATTAAGCGAAGCTTTAACAAAAAAAACGCGATATTTTTATATTAAATAGTTATGCGCATATACATACCTGCATAAATACCAATAATTTTTACCATCGCAGATATTTGAACGAAAGTTGCAATATATATTTTGTGTTTCAGCATCATTTCTTATTCAAAACTTGCAATAAACTTTCGTCAAGTAGTCAACGACTGCCTATCTATATAGAAATAAAAACATGCATACATATGTATTTGAAAGAGTGCTTTTACATGAACGATTTCAGGCAGAACTTTTTCAGTAAGAGCTTCTTTTTGGAAACTGTATTAGAATATCTTCCAACAGCCCTGCCATTCGAATTGGAGATGCGCGGAGGATACTGGGATCTACGATACTGATTTCAAAATTGCTGGGATGGGAGGTATCGGGTAGGCCTGTACAAATTTTGCGCCAATTTTTCAAATTTTTTTAGTATACTTTCCACCAAAACATTTTTCCCAATTAAAATTTCGCCTGTTTCTAACACCAATTCTAGCTTGCTTCGAGGTAACCCACGTAACATATTCTATTGAGATATCTTAATGTGTGCTCGACAGACCGACTTGCGGACGATTTCTCTTTTCATTCTGAGTATTTTGCATATATTTATTATATATCTAAACATATATTTCTCGACTTTTCTTTAGCCTGCTACAAACAACAGACGTGCACAAATGCGCTCAAGTATAAAAAGAATTTTATGCGTTTTTCAGTAAGTAAGGATAGGTAGGAGACTCATGGGAAAGAGTTGCTGATTGACAGCCAATTAGCCAGCTTTTAAACGATTCAAATAAACTCTTGCAATTAGGCTGGTTTAATTTAATATGTTCTTCTAATTTTAGAATAAATAAATAAAATTCAAATATCTTTAGGCTATAAATTGTGAGAATTGTTTGTACATTGCAGTGTTTTATGTTGGCTAGAATGTATTTTTTTAGAACAATTCCAAAATTCTACAATACAAAAATTATGTCAAGTTCGTTGCTGAAGTCTTTCGTTTCTACTTTATTAACACCAGTTTGATTTCAAAGCCCGAATGGCAAGTTTCGGCAAAATATCGTAGCGCACGAACTCTATAATTGATTTCTCTTCTTCACTGTAATGACACTAATTAATCTCCAAATCTAACGTCAATATCAAAGACTGGTTCGGTTGTTGTGGAAGAGGTTGTTGGTGTAACTGTCACCACCAGCGGTGCTGGTGTAGTGCTGGGTATTGGAGCAAATGTTTGTTCGGTAGGCAAAGGTGCATTTGTTGTTGGTGGAGAATCAGTTGTCGGTTGAATAGCAGAAGCAGAAGTAGTACTAACTAGCGCAGGCGGCGGAGGTGGCGGCGGTGGTGGCGGCGGATATTGCGGCGGATATGGTGGCGGAGGTGGCGGTGGACCGCGGTCAAAGCCTGGTGGTCCTGAAGAAACAAAGGAAAATGAGATACGTGACTGTGACCGTGAATTTATAAAAGTTTTACCTCCAAAACCTGGTGGTCCATGACCAGGTGGCCCATGACCTGGTGGTCCATAGCCTGGGGGTCCATGACCTGGTGGTCCATGACCTGGTGGTCCATAACCTGGTGGTCCATAACCTGGTGGTCCTGTAGTAAAAGTTTAATATGCATTAATAGTTGCTTTTATATATTTCAGGTAGAAAACGTGCAGAGCGGAAAACTAACCAAAATGCGGCGGTCCTCTATTGAAGCCGGGCGGACCTAGGAAATAAGAATATTAATATTAAAAATGAACGGTAATAAATATATTTATTACGTAGCTCATTTTAATAAGTAGTACAACGATGCGCCTTACCTCCGAATGGCGGACCTGGTGGGTAGCCAAAAGCATGGTGACCGTGAAAACCAGGTCCACGCCCCGGTGGTGGCGGATAGTTGTGAAAATCTGATGAGAAATCACTTGTGTAATAATCATAGTAATCGAACGATGGTCTTTGTGGCGGCGGTGGTGGAGGTTGTGGTGGCGATGTTTCTTGTTGATATTTTTGAGGTGAGTTGTGTGAGTGTTGGTTAATATAGGAAGCCTGTGGTGAGTACGAATCATATGTTTGTGCGTTATTAGAAACTGCAGTGGCAAGTGGTGGTGCTGCTGGCGGTGGTGGTGAACCAGGTTGTTGCACATGTCCTCCGACGACTGCGACTGCGGCTGGGCGATATTGTTGTTGAGGTGCTACGATTGGTGGAGGTGGAATATTGCTTTGTTGCTCGTGGCCTACAACAGTGGCTGTGTTAGGTTGAGGTTGGTGAGACACTACCACAGCCGGTAGTTGCTGTTGCTGCGCATAACTATCATAATTATTATACAAGAAATCATTATTGTAAGCATTTTGTTGAGTGGAATAAGCGTTATTGTTATAAGCGGGACTGTTATTTATTTCAAATTTGTTCGGGTCACCAAAACCACCACCACCGCTGCTGCCACTGTCCCCATTGTAGTCATTACCCCAAAATTGTGGCGCTCGTTTTATGCGCGCTGGCGCAGCTGCATAAACTTCAGCGCGCTGCGAGTCTTCGGCCACAAGGTCAATATCAGAAAAAGTGCTGTGAAGCGAAATGCCAAAAAGTTGATGTTGTGAAATACAAAAATAAGCAATATCAGTAAACCACTTACGGATCTGCAATTAGCGGCTTCGCATGCATTTCTGCTATCGTCGCCAATGTGGCCACCAGAAGCTTGTGCAAAATAAGAGAAAAAAAACAGTAAGTTGAGCGTTTAAAAAGAGTTCGGCGCGGAAGTCCTTCATTCAAATGTTTATACTTACGCAGCAAAAGCGCCAACTCATTGTGTGTGTGTGCGTGTGTGTGTAATCGCGGTTTTATTCGTAAATTCACTTCGAAAATAGCTACTTTTTAGTCAGTATTTAACCGCAGTAATACGTGAAATTGGTAACGTCCGCACTCAAACACCACTGAACGTCAACTAAACTACAAGTTAATATCGAGCGTAATACATCTCATAGAGATCGGCGAGAAACATAAAACTCATCCCATCGCCGTCTACATTGTCTATAAAATCCATATAAACAATTATCAGCTTAAAATGCAGTCCAGCCATACAAAATTGTGATTGCGTAAATGTGTGTGTGTGCTCATATCGTCACACACGTCGTTTTTTTTTTTTAACTTTACTGAGACATTTCGAGTCGGATAAACTGGAAATTAGCATTCAACCTCAGAGCTTCTGCACATCTATTCGAGTTTTGAGTTTTAACATTTCGTTGGTTGTAGATTACCAGTTTGGTATGTTTTTCCCCGAAGTCGCTCCCTTTGTTTGTTGTTTTATTATAGGGCTTTTGTTGCGGCTATTTGCTCTCTGATATATAAAACCAAATTATTGACAATAAGTAGCGTGATTAATATATAACCAAAAATACAACAAAAATTTCACTCGTACGCCGAACTACCGAATACATTTCATGCATGCATTATACAAAAGTGTGTTAACTAATTTTTTGTAATTTTTGGTAAAGTGTACTAAAAATTTTCATAACCCAAGTACCTAAATACTTCAGCTTAAATCTGAAGTAATATTTATTATAAACTTCAATAAAATCTAGTTGAGATATACGAATGTCAAATGAAGCAGCTATTAGCGATTTATGACAAACGGAAAAATTTGAATTACTACATTTTCGAATAACATGAACGCTGCGAGAATTTGATTCACAAAACACCAAGCAGCTGCTAAATTGAATGCCATTAATGGATAGTTATTAATTTATCCGGTACTTTAATTTCAAACTATTTTGTCTACTCATATGTGATGTCACTGTACCAACACATTTTAACTGAAATTAAGAATAAAACGAAACTTTCCTTAAATACCTTATGTTCGTAGCAGAGCTGAGTCACTTGTTCCTTACCTCGGGTGGGGGGTAACAAGTAACGCTCAGCAATGCGCGAACTACAAATACTCTTATTTTAAAATTCTCTACCCCTTACCACTGGTGGGGGGAAGTAGAATTTAATAAAATAAGAGGTTAGTACTTTCAATATTAATAATTTTACCCCTTACCGCTGGTCGGGGGAAGTGAAACCTTAATAAAGAAAGAAGAAGACAGATAGTTAGATGCTTTACCCCTTACCTCTGGTGGGGGGGAGTAAAGCATAAAATATAAAAGAAAGAAAAGGAGCGTGTTATTGAGAGTCTTTACGAATCTGATTAGTTTATTCAACATTTTTCTGTTATATACAATTTTCTAACTCTATTTCCTTAACTAATTATATATGTGTGTGTGTGTGTATATGTACATGTGCATGTATGTATGTATATTTACATAAGATTACCAACCAATGCCTTGGTCTTCTAATTATATTTTTATTGCTTGCATGTGCATCGGCTATATACATGCAAAGCATATTATCTAATGCATTTTCTAATGCATGTATAGGTATGTGTGTATATATATTTGTATGCAAGAGATAAACGCATTGATCTCTTATTTCAGTATGTATTATAATTTATGTGATTTTAAATTTATGTTATGATAAGCAGCAATCTTCGTACTCAGGCAACAAGATCGCAGAGAATTTCGATTGCTTTGCTTATCATACATTTGACAGAGTAGTGGACTGTATACATATACGTAAATATTTTCTGTATGTAAATAAGTATGTTTTGTTTCTTGCATTGCATGTGCAGACAAAACGATCCTTTTCTAAATACATGTTCATATGGATGAGTATATGTTATTGTCTAAGTAGGTACATATGTACATATGCACGTATTTTTTATGTTAAATTTTATTACCCTGGCAGATATGTACTCATGTTCAAAGATGTTTGAACACCTTAAATTAATCGTAGCACATGTGGAGAGTAGTAATTATAAAATTGTTATGGTTGTTTGTCACAATAAAACCCAATAGTTCCCCTATTGCTATTAAAATTTAGCACGCTTTTGTTTGAAAACTTGAGACAGTGATAACTACGCAAAGTTTAAATATATGGTAGCAAGTTCCAAGGTTTGAAAATACATAATTATGATATGCGATGATTTTCACATAGGCGAAGGAGCTTCATTATCGTTTAACGGTTGAGAATTATAAAACGCCTTTTTCCAATCGGTGTACAATTATTTTTATCGGTAATATGTATATATATTTTTTTTCAAAGACAACATTGTTTCTCTATTTCTTTTTAATTATTTTCGGATTTTTAACTAAGCAGTCTAGTGAAATATTTTGTGTTCATGTCTCAAAACAGGCTCAATAACTATTTTGCAAACATTTTTAAAGTATATAGGGCCCTAGCAAACCGGACCGACGGTGTGCTGCCCAAGATTACTTACTTACTGCACCATGCAACGAAAGAAATAGCATTAATAATAATGTTTATTTGAAATGAAGTCATTAGGAGTTTAAACGAGGGCCAGACGACCAAGTTGGTTGATCAGTTGTTCGGTTATTTGAATACGCGAGTAATCAAGATATTAAGGGACTTCCACTACTTTGTACGTAAAGAGTACCTCGAAAATTTGATAACTCATTTTACTCATAATGTTGATTAACCATAAGGCAAATTACTCAAATAATTTGGGTTTTCGTAATTAAAAATCTTAATTACTTGAGTATAATTGAGTTATGTACTTTATGGTTAACTCAAATGTAGAATAATCAATTAATCGCGCAGCCCTAGTTTAAACTGATTTTCGTAAACTTCATAATTGGCCATCCTATCAAAGAATAGGAGTGAAATACAGTTTTTTTTCCAAAATTATTTCTTTAGCCAAATTAGCATTTTAATATTTTACATAACTACATATAGGTGAATCCGAGAAACAGACAACCAAAATCGCAAAAATGCATGCAGTTCGAATTCTCTTATTTTTGTGTCAAAAAGGCATAATACAACATGTTCTAATTTCATATTTCTTTTCACATTTATTTGAGAAATCTGATTTGCCCCTCTTACTTCTTGAAACAAAGCTCTAAATAGCATTGGTTTCAAGCACTATATCTTTTTATAAAACACAACAATATCACTTTAAAAAATTAAATCTTTCAACGGAAAAAAGAGTAACGTCCGTAGCGTAACGTCCCGAACGCACATACACAATTGTTTTAAAGTTAATCCAAGCTTTAGTTTGATTTTTATTTCACAAATTTTTTGTAGATTGAGCTCTCCTTTGCGAAAATCGGTTAACCTTGTTGGTAATACATCGACATTAAATCAAATTCAAATTTTCATTATTTTGTTCTCATAAGTACTGCTATAAACCTTCCCTTATACCAAAAAAAAAAATGTTTAACTTGTAATATTTTTGTCGGAAAAAAGTTACAAGAAACGTCCCCGACACGAAAATATTGGAGGGATCGCGGGGACAACAGCGCCACCTATCTGTTCCAAAAGTATCCTATCACTCAAGCGGTAACCAACAATGCAAACTAACGAAATTTCATTGAAATCGGTTGGGATGTTTAAACAAATTTCCAAACAAAAATTCTTTAAAAATTAATATGATGCGCCACCTATCAGATAAAAAACTACTCTATCTTTGAAGTCTGGAACAACAATATAACTCATAGATCTTTATTTAAATCGGTTTGGCGGTTTCGGAGATTAGCGTAAACGAACACAGTTACAATGGATTTTTATACATATGTACATATGTGTGTATATTAAGATTACAGATACATATTGTACTAGGAATTATTAGTAAAGGTTTTCATAGAATTACAGTTTTTATACATACCTATAATTTGCGGCTAGCCTCATTGTCAAATATCCAACTACCTATAACCTACGTAACTTATTTATGGCCCGATTCGGCTGCTTTTTTTTTAACATACATACACTGGTTTTGTAAGCAGACACATTTTTTAAGAAAAATGGGCTCTTAAGGTAATGCCGCGATAATTTCAAAAGCCGATTTATTTGAAATTGAATTGGCCGATGAAGTAAAAACAAAAGTATATTTCACATTAAAAGCATGTTTTATTTGCGTTAAAAATTTGTTTAAAACAAATAAATTTTTCGACGGAAATTTGAGTAATGTAACGTCATGTAAGACCACGCGCGATACTTCGGCTGATAAAAAAAAAAACAGGAAAGGAGTTTTGTATTTAAAACCTTGCAAAATGAAGCTTCAATACTTCACATATCCAATTCGTCTCATCCAATTCGCAGGGTTTTGCAATTATATAAATAATCCATGACAAATCCAAGTTCTGTTTTTTGTAACGTCACGCCAGTGCTTATGTTCGCGCTTATCTTTCAATCTCTACTAACAACGGTTGCCATTTTTTTTTTAAATTAAATAAAGAGCTATTTAATTACTACAGAAATATTTATATAGAATTTAGAAAACCTTCTTAAAATGTTGACTTTTTCCACTTTATTTTATAACTTTTTGTCATAAAAATGTGACGTCTCGCCAGCTTGGAATATCCCATATGCCGTTTACCTTTATTACCAATTTATTACTTTAACTATTCTAATGTATGTATGTATATGTGTGCTCATCATTTGCCTACTTTGAATGTGTCTTATTTCATTACTAATTTCACCAGATTTTAAGTTGAAAATAAGGTTAATTCACAAACAGCAAAGAAAGTGAAACTAAAAAAAAATAAATGTTCCTTTCTTATTGTGAATATGTGTACTCGTATGTATGTATCTATACTCTATTTGTTTACTAAATAGACGGTGTTCTCAATTTATGACGCCGCTTTTGCTACGACACTGCTAATTTAATCAAATTACCTACTTTATGCCTTCGTAAAATGTCGAATTCTGACATATTTGGCTAATTAAATCCGCGCATTAGGCTCCCCTATTAGGCTAGATTATATAAATAATCGAATAAGTGTGTTCGAATGTGGCATTTCTGACACAGAAGAAAGCTAAATTCACCTAATTTCAGTCGTTCAAAAACAGTGTCGTTTTCAATGACTTCCTTTGTGCGCTGCACGAAACCGAAACGCCTCAGCAGGTGCTGTTTGTCATATAACATTTGACAACTTAATTTTATTTTTGTTTGCAATTACCAGTTTCTTTTTGTCAATAA